GGTGTCTAAACATGCGGGTGCTGGTAGTGGCTCCAGTGGTTTGTGGGCAGAGGAGGCTTCCAGATGGGCTGGGGAGTAGATAAAGAAGAGAGAGGCAGAGACTTTGGGGAGTTCCTTTGGGCTTGATTGGGTCAGAACACGAACTCTTGCAGGAAAGGCTGGGCTCTGAAACTCTTGACTGCCCCTCCAACAAGTTTAACTTGAACCCAATAAGGAGAAGGAAGTCACTGATGATGTTGGGAAAGATAAGGGATATGACAGATTTGTGCGTTAGCAAGGCCCCACCCAGGTTGGATGAGGCTGTGAAGGGCCTGGACACAGGCACACGGCCAGCCACGGGGGTTTAGTGAGATTTAGTGGGAAGGCTGTGGGGATGGATGCTGTAGCCTGTCACAGCCTTGGAGCTACTTCTTAGCCTTGGGCTGATATTTTTGGCGTCCTACCTCATGGTCAAAAAACAGCTTGTAAAATTTGGACCACTTAGATCACTGCACCTGAGAGCACTACATATCCCAGAAGACCTCCCCCTCCTTGGCTATGTTGCGTGCTGGGATTTGTAGTTTCTACATGGATCAGGGTAGGTGGGAGTAGAGACAGATAAGGAAGGGAGTGGGTCAAAACAAGGCTGCAGTCGCCTCAGAAAGGAGTTCCAGAGCAGTAGGGGGTGGTGACCCAGTTCTGTGATTATGTAGCCCCGATTCCTGCAAGTTCGGTGTGGTCGGCAGGGAGGGTTAGGACCACATCTTAGTTTTTTCCTAACCAGCTATGCAGGTCAGAGGCCAGGATCACATTTCCCAGCCCACATCTGCTCAAGTGAGCTGACATCCACTGGTCTTTGAATGAACACCAGGGACATCTGTAGGGACACCTCCTTTAGGGCTACCCTTAAGCAGCCAAGAGTGTAGAATAAGCCTGAGAGCCAACCCACCACACCGCCTTCCCTCCACCGCCTTCCCTCAGGCAATGGGCATTTGGTCTACAAATTGTTGTGACAATCCATTTGTTTACTTCGCTCTGGCTTCTCTTCCTCTCAATAACATCTGCGCGGAAGGCCTTGTGAATCCCATGAATTAGGTGTGTGGTTTGCTAAAGAGTAACAGATAGAAGCCATGTTGGATACTATGGCAGCTGGCGTAAAGGTCATGTTCCAGGTCTTGCCATTTCAGCTCTAAAGGGCTGGGATTCCACAGGGTCTGGGGCCAGAGTACGTGGGTCGTGGTGATATATTCCTGTGTTATGTTCATGGCTCCCCATGGTCTGGGCTCTGTTGGTGGGTCACGTGGTGGGTAAGTGCTCACTAACTCGGGTACACCTGTACCACAAGGGCTGGTAGAGGTTTCTTATGGCTCTGCAACTTTCCCGTCTTTTTATTAACACCTCACTATTTCCCCTACTTTTCAGAATTGAAAATCTATAGAAACACATAAGTAAAAATTACAAATTAAGAAACAGGTTTCAGACATATTAGGGGTGGGCAGAGGGTGGGAAGTAGCACCGTACTTTTAATTGGAGCCCTGGTGACAGACAGAGGGGGTCAGACAGAAGAGTCTGCAGCGGCAAATGGTCCAGGCTGGGTAGGGTTGAGCCGACTTAGGGCTGAGGGTGGTGCTGATGATAGCCGGCAGGAGATCTCTCGGCATTCCTTTGTTTTTCAATTTTTGAGTGAGAGAGCGTAGGCAGGGGAGGGGCAGAGAGAGGGGGGAACAGAGAATCCGAACCAGGCTCTGTGCTGATAGCAGCAACCCCGATGCTGGGCTCGAACTCAGGAACGGTGAGATCATGACCCAAGCTGAAGTCAGATGATTAACCCACTGAGCCACCCAGATGCCCCTCTCGGCATTCCTCACGAGGGCTTCTCCTGCATCTAGCTTGCCAGTGGTGTTTTGCTTCTAACTGGGGTGCTTATTTACTATGAGCATCAGTTTTCCCATCTGTGAAGTGGGATAGCACTTGTTTTACAGGGCAGTAATCCCCCTTGTAGTGACAAGGGAGGGGAACTGGCCACACCCCCCGGTTCAAACGCCTTGCCTTGGTTACTGGCGACACACTGGTGATTGGGGCACACTGCTCTCCTTTCAACTTCTGATTCTAGTGCTGTCAAGACCTCGTACTTCTGAAGTTTCTTTTTGTTCCAAACATAAAATCTGATTAAAACAGCTTAAGACCCAAAGGAAATTTCTTTTTTTTTAAATGATTTTTTAAAAAGTTTATTTATTTTGAGAGAGACAGAACAAGCGGGACAGGGACAGAGAGAGAGGGAGAGAGAGAATCCCAAGCAGGCTGTCAGGGCAGAGCCCGATGTGGGGCTCGAGTCCACAAACCATGAGGTCATGACCTGGGCCGAAGTGGGATGCTTAACCGACTGAACCACCCAGGCTCCCTCGAAAGGAAATTTCTTATAAAAATACCAGGGTACTCAGTATTTGAAGGAAGGGTTGACTTAGTACAGAAGAAAAAGGGCAGTTTTGAGACCTCAGAGTTTCATGGACTTTGTCCCTGAGTGTGGCCACAAACACCACTTGGTCAATCTGCTTTCAACCTCTGTGCCTCTGGGCTCCGTGGTTCAGGTTCCTGGAGTCCCGTCTGGTTGGTCTAGCTTGCAGACAGGTCAGCTGTCTCCCTGAGAACCAACTTTCTATGGCTGGCGGCCCAGTATAACAACAAACAGATAATTTATATGAAGCACTAGGGTGGGTGTACGAGAGGTATTGGGGACACTCTTCCCACATAAGGTAGGATTACTGAGAAGACACCCCAAGAGGTGTTTGCTGTCTTTCCCTCTATACAGACCACTTTCTTTTTTTTTAACGTTTATTTTTTTATTTTTGAGAGAGAGAGAGAGAGAGAGAGAGAGCAAGCAGGGGAGGGGCAGAGAGACAGGAGGACAGAGGATCCAAAGAGGGCTCTGTGCTGTCAGCAGAGAGCCCAATGTGAGACTCGAACTCATGAACCATGAGATCATGACCTGAGCCGAAGTTAGATGCTTAACCAACTGAGCCACCCAGGTGCCCCTATACAGACCACTTTCTATACCTTTGACCAGCATGATCCGGCCAGCCCGTTCATGACCACACTTGCACTCCTTGACTCATCCTTGCCCCAAAGGGCCAACCCAAAGTCACACTCCGCCATTGCGGCCACAACATCATGAGCTGTCTAATCTCAGAGTCC